AGTCGATAGTTTTGAAACTATCGATACTATCAATAGCTCCAGTCGAGTGTTTTAGTCGATAGTTTTGAAACTATCGATAGTTTCCGTCGATAGTTTTAAAACTATCGACTGAAAATGCGCCCATCTATAGTATTGCCCGGGAGAAAACTATCGGTACTATCGATAGTTTCAAAACTATCGATGTTTTAGTCGATAGTTCCGAAAACCCGATACTATGACTTGGCTTCGATAATATCGATAGTCTATCGATATTTAAGGAACACTACTAATAACACATTGTTATATGCTGCATTGCGATTTGATTTCCTTTTCCCTGCTTCTAGATACGCAATGGATTCTAAAATTAAATTCATCACGCTTTGATGCATTTTTTTGTGTATCAGCATGAATATATTTTTCTGTGCAAGACTTATAAAAATTTACTTTTTTCCTTGCAGATAATTTAGATTTGTTGAATAAGAAATTGTTATAGGATAATGACTATCATTATCATCATCAATATTGCTGATATGAATAAACTATCAAGTTTTGAAAATTTTATGCCTTCGTTTTCAGCATTATACTGGATTTAGACCTTTGAACTTCTTAAAGATGACAGCAATATTAAAATCGAATGAAAGCTTAATTTCTGGAAGTTTCGTTTTTCTATGTTAAAATGCAGAAACTTCATAGAAAAAAAAATTGTTTAAAACTGTGCGATTATTTTCCAACAATAAAACATAGAATGCTGGATAAAATGAATAAATAAGCAATCAGCAACGTGAACATAAAAATTTAAGATACTAAAGATTTCATTACAATAAGCAATCTGCAATCTAAAAATAAAATATAGTAATAAAATATACTTTTCAAGTAGATAGTAAAAATAACAAAACAAATTTTAGCTTATGAACATTAGACAAAACTTTCGCACATAAATTTGAATTTAAATTATTGGTGTTCAAAACAAATGTTAATATGGAAGCTGCTACAAAACAAGGAATAAGTGTAAACTGTTCCTTTGAATGAAATACAAACTGAAATAATAATTAGTATTCAAACGGAATAAATTAGAGAATATTAATTGCAGATTACTTATTATTTTAAAAATAAAAAGGAGAGCAATTTTAATGAGAAGCAACAAATGTCATAAACACGATAAAGGGAAAAAAACTGTCTCCTTTTTATTTTTTGGTAATTAATTTTTAATGATCGAAATTAATATTATAACATTTTAACCTAATCACACTAGGAATGTCCTAATAAATGGCTAAACGTGATCAGATTTGTTCCTACCTATTTAATGAATACTGGCAAAATTCTTTTAATGTTTTTTCATAATAGAAAAATTATCACCCCTGAAAAATTTATTTTCGATAACAGAAAACTCAGTAACGAATTTTAAATTATTCAACAAAAAGCAATATGGATAATTAGGCTTTGTGTGGGTTCAATATAATGAATTAACCGATTTGTTTAACTTTTTTTATATATTATCAGTGCTTAAAAAATGTTACATAATTAATACAATGAGTCTATATACCAAGTGCGTCAAAAATTCGTGCAAACTTCAAGAAATTCATAATAAAAAAAGTAATGCTCGGAAAAAAATTCGGTTTGCGCGAATATGATCAGAGGGACATTGGATTTTTTTCCATGTGTATGTTAGCGTTAAAGTATGAAATCCGTTATTCTATAGAATACCTAGTTATTCTATAGAATAACTGATCAAGTCAGTTAAAGTGTTAAATAAACTTTTATTTTACACTTTAACTAGTTATTCTATAGAATAACGGTCCACGCATCGTTAAAGTGTAAAATAGCCGACATGATGCAGCCTGTTTGTTAGTCAGATTGGTTATTTGTATAGATGTATAGATGTATTGGTTATTTGTATAGTGTACAGCACTTGAAGTGGGCACCGGAATTTTTTTTATTTTTAAGAAACATCCTACGTCTTCGCTAGTAGCGGGAGACGGATCCTAGTAGCTTCGCTAGCTCATTGAATGTAAGGAATCTGCGTTTATAGTGGAATTTGTCCATAACTTTGTTCCTAATAGAGATACCGAGACAATTCCTGTATATTCTGGAACCTTCATTTTGTCACCAAGTTCGCCACATTTCTCGCCAAGGTTCTAAAGACTCGCCAAGTTTGTCGCCAAGGTCGAGTGTCATTGACTTCCTTTCAATACGTATTCCTGTAAATCTCTCGCAATCAGTGCGAAATTTAGAAAAAAGCGGACTTGTTTTAATGTCATAATGTTTATTTTACACTTTAACGGTCTATCATTAGTTATTCTATAGAATACCTAGTTATTTCATAGAATAACTAGGTAAAGTATGAAATAAATAATTTATTTTACACTTTAACTGACATGATCAGTTAATCTATAGAATAACTAGTTATTCTATAGAATAACTGAATTATACACTTTAACGGTGACATATATAAAAAAATTCAGTATCCCATTCAATGAAATAGGGCTTTTATGCGCCTTCAGTCCTTCCTCCTTGCGAAACTTTCGCAATGCAATAGTTGTGGATTCATCATTCTTGTAGAAAAGTTTAACCACCAGCGCTCGATCTGGTAACGATAGCATGCTGCCGGGATCGAATAACGAATCCATTTCCAGTCAGGTGTATTTATTATCAATAGCCTCATTTGAATAAAACGCCTCAGTATGACGTGTGAGCGCCCTCTTTCGGTTACTTTTTGAATAATTTTCTTTTAATGGCAAAAATTCCGGTGTCCCTCTGATCATATTCACTCAAATCGAAATTTTTCCGAGCATTATTTCTTTTATTATGAATTTTTGAGGTTTGCACGAACTTCTGACGCACCCGGTACAATTATAAAGCTATGTACAGTTTTACGACGCACAATTCAGTCTTAGTTCCTGATGTTGCAGAAATCGGATGGAAACGTGATCTTCGCTTAAGCCATCATAGCACGTCATTGCCGAACTCTCTCTGTCTTTAAGGGGTCTATTCTGGTACCCCCGGTTGGGTTGGTTCCGCACGTTAACAACGGAACCCAACCCAACCGGGGGTATTAGAATAGACCCCTCAGACTGCGTAGCGATGGCAGTGCTTTCTGGTGGCATTTCCGATGGTGGCCCAGAATAATACCTTCGTGCAGTAAAGTTTCCATGAACTGAGAATAATCTACCCTCGGCGAAACTGCAACCCCCAAACGCAGGTTTAGGGGTTAGACCGATGCCTAATCCGTTAGCCCACGTGGGCTTCGAATGTGTGTGATCATCCAATCATAATTAAGACATCCTATTTCGCAGCGCTGTAAACTTTTGTTCTTGATTGCATGGAGATATGTTCCATCGTCACGTAACATTTCCTTAAATTGAGAATAGTCTACCATCGTCGGGAGTCGAACCCGCAATCCCTGGTTTAGGAGACCGATGCCATATCCGTTAGGCCACGAGGGCTTCGGATGTGTGTGATCATCCAATCATAATTAAAATATCTTATTTCGCACCAAAATAAAACTATCCTCGTGAAAGAATTTAAAGACATGTTTCCATTGTGACAAAATTCCTTTAAATTGAGATTCGTCTATCCTCGGCGGAACTCGAATCCGCGATAGCCGGCTTAAGAGACCGATGCCTTATCCGTTACGCCACGAGTGCTTCGAACATATATTATCAATGAATCATTATTAAGAAATCTTATTTCGCAGAGCAGAAAATTTTTGCCTGTTACTATATGTTCACAACATGTTCCCTCGTGACGCAAAATTTCTTTAAATTAAGAATATTCTACCCTCGGCGGGACTCGAACCCGCAATCCGTGGTTTAGGAGACCGATGCCTTACCCGTTAGGCCACGAGAGCTCTGAATGTGTGTGATCATCGAATCATGATTAAAATTTCTTATTTTGGAGCACAGTAAAAGTCTCCACGTGAATGAATTTAGAGGCAATTTCCATTACGACATAATAAACCATTAAATTGAGATTAGTCTACCCTCGGCGGGATCCGAACCCGCAATCTCCGGTTTGTTAGACCGATTTCTTATCCGTCAGGCCACGAGAGATTCGAATGTGCACTATCATCGAATCATAATTAAGACATCTTATCGCAGCACAGTAAAATTTTGCTTGTTACTGTATGTTCATGGCATGTTACCTCGTGACGCAAAATTTCTTTTACTTCAGAATAGTCCACCCTCGGCGGTATCTGAACCCGCAATCCCCAGTTTAGGAGACCGATTTCTTATCCACCAGGCCACGAGAGATTTGAATGGGTGTTATCATCGAATCATAATTAAGACATCTTATTTCTCAGCACATTAAAATTATCCACGTTAATGCATTTGGATACATGTTCCTTCGTGACATAATTTTTTTAAAAAAATTGAGATTAATCTAACCTCGGCGGGACTCGAATCCGCAATCCCCATTTTAGGAGACCGATGTTTTATCCGTTAGGCCAATAGGGATTCCAATGTGTCTGATTATAAAATCATATTTAAGACATCTTATTTCTCAGAGCATCAAAATTCTGTATTTGAACGTATTTGGTGGTATGCCCTTTGGTGACATAAAATTTCTTGAAATTGCGAATAGTTTACCCCCGGAGGGAGGTGAACCCGCAATCCTCGGTTGAGGAGATCGATGCCTTATTTGATATCGATTGCCTCGGGCTCTTTAGATCACCAAAAAATAAGAGATATACTTTCTCAGCAAGTAATATTCGGTATGCGCATGTATTTCATGATATATTTCTTCTTGACGAAACATATTTCTTGAAAGATATATTAGCTTAACCTCCGTGGACTTGAACCCGAATTACTAAGTTTAGGATAATGTGCTTAAATCAAACTGTCTTCAGTTATAATTTTTTCTAAATTGTTGCATAAAAGATTTATTGTCTTTTCTTTAATGCAAGTGTTAGGGGTCTATTCTGGTACCCCCGGTTGGGTTGGGAGACGTCATTTTTTCCGCACGTTAACAACGGAAAAAGTGACGTCTCCCAACCCAACCGGGGGTACCAGAATATACCCGTTACAATTTTCTGGATCTTTTTCGTAGTTACTACGTTTTTCGACAACCTTCTTTTTCATGTATAATAAATGAAGAATCAATGAAAATTAATTGTACTAAATATTAAAGAACTATAAATTTAAATAAATCGCTTGACACTCTGTGACATGATCACTTCTAAATTAATCAGTAATAGAGATATAAGAATTTTAAAATGTACAAAAAAATAAAATAGACTTGAATTTGATACGCTGTTTGAATATGAGATGCATGGACTCGAACATAAAGAAATATGCCTTGTAAATAAGAACATAGAAAGATGACTGTTTTCTGGGTGATTCGAAATAACGCCAACGGAAATTAGTGCAGATTAGGTAAGTATTAACACAGGGTCGGAATCGCCCTCTGGTGTTGCTAGACGTCCTTTAAGACAATATAAAATACAAGGTTAACAACCAAGAATAAGAAATCAATCGACAAAATCTTATCTACACTTTACGGGTCTATTCTGGTACCCCCGGTTGGGTTGGGAGACGTCACCACGTTAAAAACGGGAAAAGTGACGTCTCCCAACTCAACCAGGGGTACCAGAGTAGACCCCTTTATTTCCGCTGCGAATTCAAGGTACGTGAAACGTTGCTTCTTATTCGTGAGGAATCCAGAGTTCAATTGATGCAGACTTACTTTTTTTCTTAACATATTGGCACCGTCTAGTGCCTTTAGAGAGAATTTGCGACCCTAAGTTAGTGTGTGAATTTTAACTCTTTCATTTTGTCGACATTATCTCTATCTCTAATACTAATAAAGATGAATGTGTGTGTGTCTGTTGGGAATCTACAGAACAGACCGTAGAACGTAGAGCTGCCACAGTTGGCACAGATATACTTTGGATGCTGAAGATGTGCACCTCGAAGCCGTTTTTTAAAATTTTAATTCAAATTTAAATTATTTAAAAATTAAAGCAAATTTCGCCGTTTTTTGTGAATAATTTTTGAATGAATTGATGGAGAAAATTTGTATGCCGTTTAAAAGAGCAAACAATTATCTTTCCAGTGGTATCAGTTTTATTATTGTACAAAATTTTATCTAATTTTTATAAATTCTACATTTACACTACATTAAAAAAAAATATTGTGTGATTTTTTTTTCCATATTTCTATTTTGACGGTGTGCGGCATGGACTTTTGGGGCCTCGGTGTGTTTTTGGTGCTTTTGTAATTGCATTTTTTCATTTTAAAACATTTATGTGCTTACATTTTTATAATTGATGAGGTTTTGAGCTTGGAACTGTTGTATTCTCTGCAGTTACTTTTTGTGTGTGTGTGTGTGTGTGTTTTTTAATTCACTTTGTGACTTGTGATTTTGTATGCTTTTGTCATGCACTCTCTAAATGGAGTCATCTCTGTAGCGTGCTTTCTTTGAATAAATAAATAAATAAATAAATAAATAAATAAAAATTTTAAGTCATCAGAATATTATAGTTATGGGTGTGAGAGTACAGATTGGCCTATAGTAGGCGGAGCTAAGAGCTGTTTGTCAACGTAATGCTAGCGTGGATCTGAAAAACAAAATTATTATTAGTGTAATCGCTTGGGCAGTATATATACTAAAATTTGAACGATACAGAGATTCGGGACGGACCTCGTAATTTTGAGTCTTGGTCTGATGACGAGTACGACACTTCAGCCGGCACCCTATCTCTAAACTTCCACATCGCACAATCGGGAGGGCATTTAAGCTTCAACCTCAGATTTAATGTGCACCAAGCCCACGTACACGGTGTATCTTCGGCGGAATCGGATTTTGAGCCTGAAACTTCCACTCCCGATGCCGATACCTTCTGGGGCTACAGCGAAATTGAATTAAAATTTGATTAAATGTTATTCAAAAAATGGTTTGTTTTGTTATATTTCATATATTAAACTATGTTGAATATTTAATTAATTGATTTTGTTGTTGCTTTTTCCTCTTCTAAATTTTGTAATAGAAATCGCTTATATCGCATTTTAGATATGTTTTTCTCTCTCTCTTTTCTAAATTGTTTCTCGGACTCCTTTTTTAAAAATTCTTTTAAGCGTACTTCTTGTTTCATGCCACTGTTGCATGTGGTTGTACTTATTTTATTTTATTTCTTTTATTTTCTTAATTTTATCTTTCTTAATTTTATTTTATTTCTTTCATTATGTTTATTTTTAAAAATTGTATTTACAATTTATTACATTTTATTTATTTCACATTTTTTGCTTATATTTATGTATGCTTATGTATTTATATTGGCATTTGCATTTTGTATTCTTATATTGCATAAAATTACTTATATTATTTTGTATTGTATTACCAAATTTTTTCCATTGTATTGTATACTTATATTGTATTGCATTACTCTAATATTTATAGTAAAATTTTTCTTCTCGACAACCCGTGACATGATTACACCCTTTAAGTAAGCAGGGTCACCGTGAGCAATAAAAATTAAAAAAGAATTAGTTGACTTTAGGCGAATAGTTACCAATCAAAAATGTATTTAGAATGTTTGTTTAAACCTGAAACTTTTATTTTGTACACATTAATTTCTGATATCAGAAAAATAGAATCAAAATTTGTTTAAAACTCAATTGAAAAAAATGCTGCATCATTACATCCTGATAGTAATCTTTAACCCTTGTTAAAGATTAAATTGTGACAGAAGGGATCAGAGGAGTTTAAATTTAGTATGTTTACATTTTAGCTTCACACACAAAAAAAAAATCAAAGAAAAAAAAACGAAGTAAAAAAATTTCCTAATTCTTTTTAAGAATAAACAAGGATTTAAAAAAACATGAAAGGAAATGTTCTATACAAACATTAAGACTCGAAGGACTCGAGCTAAAAGAGTAAGTCCTCGGTAAACATTAAGTACATCTAAAGATTTGAGAGCTCTACGACAAGATTAAACCTCAACTTTTCCGGTTACTTTATTCAAAATCTCTGTTGAATATTTCAACAAGCGTCTTAAATTCACCGAGAGAAAATTACGAAAATTCGCTGGAGATTGTTTCTCTTTTAGCTGCTGAATAAACACTTAGTTAATTAATCCAAGTGTCTCTTTAGCACAGATTTCATGAAACATTAAACACTTTTGCTTTTATAAAAAAAACCCCGAAAATACCAGTTCAGTTGAGCAGATGTTTAAAAACCGTGGAAAACATAAATATTCTTTTATCTTTCTCAAAATGCAAACGATTTTTTTTTATCTGTTATAAATAAAAAGACAAAAGTTTCTTTCGAACTACTGATGAAAGCAAACATAAAAAGACGTTCTAAAGCGAATTTTAGAAAAAAAAGAGTCTTCAGATTTTTCTATGTATTTGAGAACGTTACTTAGTAAAAAAGAATACAAAATGTGTATTTTTGGAGTGAAAAATTATGATTATGTAAAAATATTCCGTAACTAAGGCGAATACCTTCCCACGTAGATCTAATTGTCCTCAAAAAAAGAAGCCATTAAGAAACTTTAGAAAAATGGCTAGTTAAATATTACAATGTTATGAAATAGATACTAAGGAAAAAAGGGTCTAGACTAGCTATCGTGTATTGAAAAATTTCAATTTTATAAAAAATACTTTCGGCAAGCAGGTGCGTAACTATTAGGGGATTACCAAACTTAAGCTTTGTAAAGAAGCTTATTTCTTTTTCTATATCTTTACCTACCTTCTGTAGGATTATAAAACTGCTTTGAAGTTAATTTATTTGAACTGGATTTAATACCGAATGGAAAAAAAGATATGCTTTCAGAAGTGAAGAAAGCGAAATGTGTTTTTAAATTTATTAAAAATGGTTATCAAAATTTTAGAGCAATATGTACAGATA